CAATAACAAATTTTGCTGGGTGATTAATTGTCTCAGAAATTATTGTGATAAACGATGATATTGTTTGAAATTTGACAATAATTCGTAATTATTGTCAAATTTAAAAAGAAATGTTTAATTTGTTTGCATGTAGTACCTATTTTCAACCACCAGATGGCAGTATAGACTGTTTGAACAGAAGAATGGATAGTGAGGGAGCGAGCAGTGTGTCTCTTTAAGAAAAATGGAAGGGAGGCCCCTTGATGTAACATGGGCTGTCTCTCTTTGATTCTCAAAATGGCGGCTGCTAGGTGTGATTTTAGCTCTTTAGCATAGCATTTTTGACAAAAAGCTATTAATAAAATAAAACAGTAAACAAGTTCTCAGCTTCTTTTTGCAGAGAAAAACAAGTTTTTAGACAAAGGCTCATGTTTCAACCTTAAATTTTAGAGTTTAAACAAGACAGAGGTTTTTCCTGAGGTTGACCTGTTAGCTTAGCTCGTAGCTTAGCTTCTCAGCTTATCTGCTTTTAACCATCCAAAAATGATTTTGGATGGTTAAAATGGATATTAAAGAGAAAGGAAGTGGTCAGTGTAGACCACCAGAGTTGAGCCTTTTGTCATCCAGTGTCTTCAGTAGATAGAGAGAGACACAAAGAAACGATAAAGTCGATGAATGAAAATGTTGTAGATAATTTTCATTTATCATGCGATGAATTGATTTGTTGTTTATTACGACAGGCCAATCATGCAACATCAACATTTGCTTTCTGCCAGCTTTTTTTTTTTTTACTGGCTCACATAATATTCATTCAATATGCATTTTAATACAAACCAACTCCCTAAAATTAGTTTTGTTCTTGTACCTGTGGACAATTTTCTCAAACAATATGACACAAAAGTTATTAAATGAGTGTAGCAACAACTCAAGGCTTCTTTAGGTTATGTGGAATTTGGTGTTAATTAATCCAAGCAAAAAACAGGCAAAGGAAGTACAGCAAGAAGTTTTGCCACCTTTGACATAATGACTGAACCTGAAGATGGTATGCAAGCTGGCTATTTTACTAGTCATTATAAGTACAATCTAAGATATCTGACCTTGACTGAGTTTTATCCCGTGTAGTTATGGTGTTGAATCAATTAAAAACACCATTCACCAGCATGCATTGTAGCAGTCAACTATTACCCAATGGGATGGCATTATTGTGTCTTGTCTTATGTGAAAGTCATCCTTACAGAGATTTGTGCTCATGTTTGGTGTGAGAAGTTCTCTGTTTGAACTAGTACCTATCACAACAAGCTGCCCATGGAACAACAGACCCACACACACAACTATGCAGTGTTGGTAGAGTGGCCTGTAGTTACACTGCCTTTCCCAAGCCACTGCTCCCTTTGAAGCAACTCTGTGTCTGTGGGTGAGTGTGTATGTGTGTGTGAGGGTTAAATGGACAGTGGAGCGTGACAGACAGACAGGCTCTCACACTCTGAGGCCCACTCTGCCCTCCAGCTACGCTTAGTTCAGACCGACAGAGAGGGAGAAAAACTGTGACAGACACAGAGAAGTGACTTTTTTTTAAATTAGCTGCTTCTGTCCCTAGGCGGTGGATTCCATTGAGAAGGTGAGAAAGAGGGAGGGGGGGGGGTGTGTGGATGAGAGGATGAAGGGATCAGAGGACAAAAAAGGAAGAAGAGCTATTGAATGATGAAGATACTGATGTTAGATATCTCACATGCCCGGCATCCATTAAACCAATTATTTTGAAAAAGTCATACATTGTGCAAAGGTTGATTGAGACATATTTTGCCATGAATTGGGGTGTGGGTGTATTTGTTTATTGATAGGCTGACAGAGGTCAGATGGTCACAGAACGACCATGTCCTCGGGGTAGAAGGATATTAGCTTCCACCAACATCACAGGGGAGGCCTGCTGTGCTATCCGACTACCATTACACCCACACACAGACATCCACTGACATTCATGCACACAAAACACACTAGTCATGCATGAGAGTACACACAACATACACCTAACACCCCTAAAACATAACAGAGTCTGGGCAATCCATCAACAGGCATAAGAAACTACTCCGTCTTTCAGTCTGCTCTCCTCTGTTTTACCTGCTGCTTTGTCTTGGAGGCAGTAGTCCGGAGAGTTCTCAAAGTAGACTAGGTCGTTCTTGGTGGCTTTCCTGAAGGCTTTGTTGGCTACAGTGAAACCTGTCCCATCCTGATTCATTGTCACCTCGACTGCCCCATTGTACTTCCTCCTCAGGTAGTCACCAGTCTTCCTGAAGTCGGCCATGGCCATCCAACATGTCCGCAAAGTGCAAGAACCGCTCACGCCGTGACATTTACACTCCAGCTTCATGAAGCGCTTCACAGCCTAAACAAAGACATTTGGATTGTTGCTATTATTTCAGCTATACGTTTTACATATTAAAAAAGATAAAAACAGTGAAATTTGGCTTTATTTCTATTCCGATTCATAGTGAGTCTAAATGCTTAGGATTTTACATTAAATTGGAATACAAAAAGATAAGATAGTGAAGGGTACACAGAAAACCGTTGGAGTCAGGCTCCCCACCATCACAGACATCTTCACCTCTAGATGCAGGAAGAGGGCCACCTGCATCATGAAGGACCCCACTCACCCAGCTCACACATTTTTTGCCCCGCTCCCCTCAGGAAGGAGGTTGCAGAGCATTAAGTGTAGAACCACTAGACTGTGGAACAGCTTCTACCCTGAAGCTGTTAGACTCATGAATTCCTAATCAGGATTATCACGGTGGGGGGAAAAAGTCACTATAATGCCACTTTGATTTTTGATATGTGCTGCAAATTATCCATGCTGCTGATCTCATGCTGCTGATTATTTCATGCTGCTGTGTTCATTCATACTAATCTACTCACAGACTTATGTTTGTGCTGCTGTTGTTCGGCATATTGTTTTGCACTATTAAGGCTCCAGCATACTCGGGTGTACTTTACTCTGCGGAGGTCCGCACGTACCGGATTAGACTCAACGCGGACACCCTCAAGCTATGTCCGTGCAAAGATCAAGTTTTACGACAGCGTACGCGTACTTGGTGTTGCACAATAAACTGCCTGGCAATGGACTGTTTTGTATGCAATACCAATGTGACAAATTCCCCTTCTTCATCCCTGATCTTGTTTAAGGGTCTTTTCTTTAGTTTTTTTGCCATGAGGTTGAGGCAAGCGATCGCTTCCTCCTCGTCCGTTGATGCCATGACTGAAATTGTGAGAAATAAATGAATTTATTTAATTAATTTATTACATTTTTAAACAGGAAAAGATTCAAATAAATTTGTCACGAGAGAATTAAAATCAGGCTTGGCGTGACTGCGGGAGGGTCTGGAGATTTCCTGGTGGGCCGGTCTGATGTGTGGGCTGCAGGGCCAGGACTCCCTGTTTTTTTGTTTTTTTTAATAACTTTTTATTAACAACACATAAACACAGAACACCGCTGCCGCTTCTCCTGGGCTGTGACCTGTCAACCAATCCGGTAGGTGTGTCAGCAAATGACCAATCGGCAACCTCAATTTGTCACCAAGGTAAACGTCTCTCGCCTGCGGAGCTGGGCTGCAGCCGCTCAGGGTAGACACTCGAGTATGAAGTCTCAACTGTCTGTGCAGTGTCAGTGCGGCTCACGGAGTATACACATTACGCACGAGTACAGTATGTGGGAGCTTTAAGTGTTTAGCGTATTTCTTGGTTTATATCTTAGATCCTTATTACTGTTTCTTTTACCGTTTATATTTTTGCTGTTGTTGGATGTAACTGGGACCCTGTGTACACAATTTCGTTCCACCTCATGTGCCACATGTGATGCGAATGACAATAAAGAACTTTGAATAAGAAATCAGTTATTAAAAAAACATTTAGATTTTGCAGGCTTACAACCCAATTACATTTTTTGTTCTATGGTTGGGGGATTTGGGAATGGTGCAACAAAAAAAGGGACGCCTTCAAGAAGATGATCAGTCATAAGTTTTTGCAAATTCTTTTTAGGTTTAAACAGACTTTGGAGTTCAGGGCACTGTCCTCACTTTGTTGTGATCTATGTTGCATCCGGCATTATTTGGCAAAGGAGTTTTGCGATGCGGCTTTAAAGAGGAGCCCCTCTTTGAACTGCCATTGACTGTTCATTAATCACCAATTGAGCTGGCCATGTCCTGCAATAAATGAAGCCACCAATCACAACCATCTGTTATACCCTTTCATGTATAGACATTTCCACACTGCTTGGTGTCTCAGAGGTGTGACAGCAGCAGGTTGACTTCAACACCGCATACTGCCTTGATCCTTTCATGAGTTACATTGAAACGCCAAGAAAGCATCTCAGAGCTGGCTCAAAGTGTATGGTGAAAGGGGCTGAAACAGTTTCTCAAAGGTTTTGTAACAACCACCAGCAAAATTACTAAGCCCTCAAATGTGCCATCTGTTGCAGGAAACAATAAAAACAGCAACAGAGTTTTATTTTATTATCTGACACAAACAAGAAAACTGGCCAAACCCCTAGTACTGGTTTTAGCCCAATGGTTCTAACAGTCTGAGAAGCATGAGGCTAAACACTTCTTCAACATTTGGTAACATTAATGAAGTTTGTGGTTGTGACATTGTTCTTTGGTTAAACCAGTGCTTCCATATTGCTCAACATGATAATTATACTTTAGTTTTTAGTGGAAGTACCTTAATTTTTCCTAGAGCCATTCCATTTGTTTGTTTGATTGGCATAGTAGAAATTTAACTTGTCTATTTTTTCCAAGGCAATTATTATACAGAATCAAATTATGGCATTGTATTTGTACACAGAAGATGTCAAAGAAAGGATGAATACTGTCCATCTTTGAAAATGAAAACGAATGATTTACTTTGTTCTCTTTTTCTAGATGAGAAAATTTGTAAGACAACTCAATACAATCTTTTTCTATGAACTTTGAATTCATAAATACATCTTTTATTCCACAATAAATGCACACTTACTGTTCTGCCACAGCGATTGTTGTGGAGGTTCGTGAGGGCCCGAGCATCTCGGACAGTTCTCTCTTTGGCATCTATGAAGGCTTTGGCAAACTTTATTCCATAGTTGATGTTATCACTGCAGCCGCCCCAATCAAACTCGCCTCTTGTATCGCGAGCTCGTCCACGTTTGTGAGGATCACAGTTGCACATCTTCAGCTCCCCCTGGCTGCAGGCACGAGTTAGAGCGTACACGACTCCCGCTGAGGAGATGGCATAGACAAACGCTGCTTCCCGACTGCCTGAGAGGGAAAGATAGAATACAAAACCAAAAAAATAGAAGTAGGTGAGACATGGAATGAGTTTAGAATACCAAAATCTGTTTCTGAATACAGACATTGTAGTCCCTCTCACCAGGCCCTACAACAGATTCTCCAAGATCCAAAGAGAGCTTTGTTGTCTACATGCTATTCATACAAAGATACACATAGTGCCATGGTAAGACCTTAGTTTGAGGCATGAGCACATGAAGGAACAGCTGATGGAGTGTATCAGGCCTGATGTGGAGTATAGACCTGCTCTGTTTAAATATTATCATGGAAATAATCCTAGCTGTGGGGCTCCCCTCGGCTCACATAAATTGTTTAAATACAGACACAGTGATACCCCATTTATCAGCACCAGGGTGATGTCATGAGAACATTATCTACCATTGCTGTGCTCCAGTGTTCTTTGCTGCTGTCTTTGGTTCATCAGTAAATGACTCATACATTGTGTGTCTAAAAACACAAGGAAATTTTGATGCAGTGATTGGTCACGCTTGCTTTTTGCATTGGTTTGTGAGTAAAACTGTTGGACATGGGAGGAATATAAACTTTTTCTCCTTCAGTTTTCTAAACATAAACATAATAAACCTTAATATGGACTTGGTATTTGTACTCAACTAATGATAAGATTGGAATGAGATTCTTCTTCTTCTTTCAGCTTTTCTCTCTTCAGGGGTCGCCACTAGGGGTTGAACGAGTATATAATTTTTAAACTTGACATTAACATAATAAAACCCGAGTAGAACTCGAGTGTTTGATGACGTCATAGATATCAAGATACAAAAATAAATAAATAAATAAAACTGCAAAAAAAGGTAATTATTTACACACAAAAAAAAGACCAATAAAACATTGGGAGCGTATATTATGCTCCTACCATTTATCATACTGCAAATAAGTCACATGAAAAACTAAACTATTAGTTATTATTATTAAACTGCAAACATGAAGAAACATGCAGCACGTCAAAAACGAAACTTGAATCGAAACTGGTTCTGGTTCGGTGGATTGGACCCGGTGTTACACCATACTCTGTGACCTGAAACAGTGCAACACCGCCCCCTACGGTCATACGGTGGTCACTTAATATGACGTCACTACGGATACTCGACGTTACATTTTTAACCTCGATAGATGTCTTAGCAATAGATGTGTAGATTACTCGAGTACTCTGTTAATGCCCTAGTCACCACAGCAAGTCACACTCCTCCATCTCACTCTGTCCTCTGCATCCTCTAGCCTCACTCGAACTACCTCCAACTGCATCCATATATTATTTGTCTTTTTCCTGGCAGCTGCATCTCTAACATCCTTCTATCAATATACCCACTTTCCCTCCTCTGTACATGGTCAAACCACTGTCCCTCCTCTGGACATGTCCAAACCGTCTCAGTCTGGTCTCTCTAACTTGATCTCCCAGTTGTTCAACATGTGCTGTACCTCTGATGATCTCATTCCTAATCTTACCCCTCCTTGTCACTCCTAAGAAGAACCTCACAATCTTCATTTCTGCCACTTCCAGTTCTTTCTCCTGTCTTTTCTGTCTCCAGACCATACAACATAGCTGGTCTCACAAGTGTCTTGTAAACTTTTCCTTTGACCTTTACTGACACATTTTTGTCACAAATCACTCCTGAAACTTTTCTCCATCCACTCCATTCTGCCTGGACTCTCTTTTTCCACTTTGATTGTTCTACGTGTACACTTTTGATTGTGAGATTGTAGTGCTTTTTTTCTTTCCCGTTATTGAAAGCATGTGCTTGAAATGTAAAAGGTAGAAGCGAGTTTGTGTATTTTGATTGACAGAAAAGAGTTTAGATCAGTGTTCATTCATTCAACCTTTATTTAGACAGGTTACTCCCATTGAGCCTCGAGGACTCATTTACAAGAGAGGCCTGATAAAAGTTAAAAGTGTTAAAAGTCTCTTTCTCTCAAAAGCCTTGGAGAGGATAGTTTAAGTATATTAAATGCCTTCCTGAGTAAAAATTACATTTAGGTAATTATCCAGTCTGGTTTTAAAACATGCACACAACACTGAAACAGCTTCGTTAAAGGTTTGTATAGCTGTTATTTTGGTAAATGGTTCTGGCTGCTTTGTGATGATCGTACTCTTTGAGCTAACAGCAGGTTTTGATTCTCTGGGTTGGGGTTACAATGTTAGACTGGTTCTGGTCATACATAAGTGAATTGTTTGTGTTAATGTTAGAACATTTCTGTCCACTTCAGTGTTTCTTTTCTGAAGGTCTTTTCCACACCTGCTCCTTTTGGGATCTATTCTAAGTAAAAAGGCGTCTGCTATGCTGTTGATTGTCAGATTTACAATATGCTAAAGACTAGATTGACTAGACTTGACCTATAAAATAAAGAATAACTGGTGTTTTTGTTGCAACTCGACTTGACTACTTCAATCCACTTTATGTTGGGCTCGGTCAGGCCTTCTTTTTGTGCTCCAACTTGTTCACAATGCTGCTGCTTGTCTGTTAACTGGAACACACAGATCTGAGCATGATTCACCAGTCCTGTCCTCCCTTCATTGTGCCATAGAATTGGTTTTTAAATTGTCATATTGACTTATAAACGCTCTTGCCCCCTCGTCTGACTTGCTTCAACCATATTCTCCTCTTTGGTCCATGATCAGTTGATTCTGGTCATCCTGAAAACTGGGCTGAAGCTCAGAGGAGATCAAGCTCTTTCATGGCTCCCCATTTTGGGAACAAGTTGCCTGCTAAAATTGGACAAGCTTCTTCACGTTCTGATTTTAAACCTCTTTAAAACACTTTTTTTTTCTTCACTGATATTTACTCTAATGTGAGTTGATTTAGTCTTTAAATTGTAGAGCATTCACTGTTTCTTTTTGTGAGATTTTCTACATCATTTTCACCCTCCCCTTTGTTTTTATTCTAATTACTGTTGTAAAACTCTGTAATTGTGTCCTGTTGCTTTTAAATGTGTTTTATAATGTAAATGACTTGACTTTGAATGACAATACAACTTGATGGTTTTTGTGATTCTACACTCGTTGCATTAAAACACATAGTTTACTCGTGAAGAAACGTGTTTCTTTCATAAAGAAAAATCAGCGCAAAAGTTTGAGATTTGGTAGTCAAGTTATACAGAATCAAACCAATCAATTGCCATGTTGTCACCTAACCTTGTTGCTTTTTATTCACTTGAGTGTCCCATTTATACTGGGAGGTGAGGAGATGGGGGCAGTGGGTACCGAAGGGATTTATGAGGGAGAGCACCGACAAGTTCATTGCTGTTCATCTTTCAAAACTGTGCTGTTTCCCTGACAGTAAGAATATCTCTCTAAATATTTACTTTTACGTTACTGTTTATTCCTCTCACCCCAATCCTAACTACACTGCATACACGCACAGGCAGAGTCAGTAACTCCATATCTTTTCTCCATGCATCGCCAACTCCCACACATGCTTGGGATGGCTGGATAAGACATAATAACAAGCCATAGAAGGTCAGTGACGTTAAAAACTGACATTGAATAGACAGATGCTTCTTCCAGCAACCTGGATCAGGCTACGAGGTATGTGACAATTTTTTTGGTCTCAAGATATACCACAATTTGACAAATAGTGATGTTAGAACCATGGTAAATTACCATCATACTGTTCTTGCACTTTAAACAGTTTTTAATGAGTTGTCAGACAGATTGGAGTAGCGTTGGCCTTTCAGGTTGGGCTTAGTGCACAAACACATCTCAAACTTCACTGTTGTCACTCCAGTTGGTGCAAGCTGTCTGTTAGCTGTACATGATAGACAGTTGGACCTCTAGCTATTAAAAATGACAAAGTAGGATGTTTGAGATTTTTTGGAAAACCAAGAAAAAAAAAAAAACAAATACAAGAGGAATTACGAAAAGAAATGAACTTCTATGTAAATACAAGCCATAATATTCGATTTAATTAGTTTTCAACAAGCTCTTAGTGTTAGGCTGTTTATCAATGAAATAAACAGCTGATGAGTAAAATGATATAACAAATTAACTGATCTATATCGGTTTATCTTACTCCCAACATTACTTCACAGTGCAGGGAACACACACACAAACAAAACCCTCCAACATTATGTTTCTCTACTTGTAAAACATCTTAATACTATATTTAGTTGGTATTATTCTGTATTATTTATATGTTTATTAACCTTTATTTAACCAGGCTCATCCCATTGAAATCATATTTCTATTTTGCAAGGGAGGCCTGGTTCTGAAGGCAGCCTAACATGCATGTTTTTAGTCTGTGGGAGGAAACTGGAGAACCCGAAGAAAACCCACGCATGCATGAGAAGAACATGCAAACTCCACACAGAAAGACCCCAGGTCCAACCGGGAATTGAACCCAGGACCTTCTTGCTGTGAGGCAACTAACCACTGAGTCATCGTGCTGCCAAATTATTTTGTGTTATTGTAATATATTTCTGTTAGCTGACACATTTGTTCAACAGCACATTTGCTACTGCTAAAATACACTGTAGAAATATTATTTACAGTAGCAGTATTTATGTGTTGGGCAGCACGGTGGCGCAACTGGTAGAGCTGCTGCCTCTCAGCGAGCAGGTCCTTGGTTCAAACCCCGGTCCAGGGGCCTTTCTGGGTGGAGTTTGCATGTTCTCTCCGTGCATGCGTGGGTTTTCTCCGGGTACTCCGGTTTCCTCCCACAGACCAAAAACATGCATGTTAGGCTGATTGGTAACTCTAAATTGTCCCTAGGTGTGAGTGAGGAAGTGAATGGTTGTTTGTCTCGTTTGTCTCTATGAGGCCCTGTGATGGACTTGCGACCCATCCAGGGTGTACCCCGCCCCTCGCACAGTGATTGCTGGACATGGGCACCAGCGACCCCCATGACCCAAAATGGATTAAGCGGGTAAAGATAATGGATGGATATTTATGTGTTTAAATAATTAATATATTTTTAAATCTGTTTGACATGTTGGTAGAATAGTCATACCGTCAGCACTTCAACCAGTTATGTCTATTGCTTTCTATCATGCCCCTCTGCAAATGCATAAATAAAATAAAATAAAATCTGTCATAAAATATAATCCTTTGTATTGCAAATATTTTGAATTGTGGACTCATTTAAGATTAGTAAACTATACTTATGCTTTACAATAATACTATTGCAACACATCGAACAGCATGAAATATGATTCATGATTATTGCAATACTGCACTTTCATTTTGTAATTTACACTGTAAAACCTTGCACTGTTAATATTTGGTAGTTTAATGGCACCACTGTTGCCCAGAAAGTAATACCTTTTTTGTTTTGTTTTTTAGTATGTTACTGCACTTTACAGCGTTTCAATAATTCATTAAGCAATTCTTTAATTTGTTAATGTAAATATTGAACACGTTACTGGTGGCAGTTTTGTCTGCAAAAAGCTGTAAACAGTATTTATGATAACATAAGATACTAGAGATATCCTGAAGCAATCTTAACAAATGAATCTCTGTGATTGTCACTGTTTTACATCAGCTGTGTTGTAATACGGCTGCCGTAAAATGTTGTGAAAGTGCCAACACGTCTGGGGTACGGAAGTGTAATAAAATAATAAATAAAAGCGGTTCTGGAGATGCTTGAAGGAATCAAAGTTCGGATATTTCTTGTAGCTTTAAAGTTACATTCAATATCACCGATTTAACAAAACTTTTAAAATCCAAACACTGTTTTGTACACCGAGTTCAATGAGTTCACTCAGCTAATGCTTTAAGCTAACACCGCTAAGCAACACACTTTAGAGGAAAATCAAAAGAGGAGGTAATATTCTATGGGACAACAATAAGGCAACAATTACTAGAGAACAGGTGACTGGAATCATAGCTCTGGATGACCAGCCCAATACTGGAGCTATTGGAGCCCTGGCATGTCCTACCCTCTCAACACTACATAATCTGAGCTATATTAAAAGTTTGCCATCACCTGGCATAATAATTTTTCTTGTTGATTAAAAAAGAGGAGCCCATGAACAGAGGTTAGCTTTACTGAGCTTTCAAGAATAAGAAGGCATTGATTTTAACAACGTTAATGTCCTTATGCTATGCATCTTGCAAGTCTGTGCTGCAAAAAAAAAAAAAAATTATATATATATATATATATTTATTTATATATATTTATTAATGCTAATATATGTACATAGGATACTCTTTTTTAATCAACAGGTGT